ACATTGCAATGTTCCCATCCATCAGTTTCCTTGGTAATTAGCGTTTGCAGAGTTGCTGTAATGTCCCTGACGTGGTTAAGAACGCAATTTGTCAAAATGATTATCCTTCAAGACTCAGTTTAAGTGACATATTCTCTTTGCTAGGACCCCCTATATTGTCTGCCAAGTTGCTAAATCAGGGGACTCTCTTAAGTCCTCATTTTGATCACCGTAGCATTTGTTGGCCACACCCTCGAAACTTTATTTGCAGGACCTTATTGTTTTTAGGTTCCTTTATTTCTGTGACAAGGAGAATGACTTCTAATGGATACAGGGTTTGTTTTACTACGGATGAAAATGTTCTAAATAGACTAATGGTGATGATTGTACAACTCTGTAGATAAGCTAAAAACCACTGAGCGAACGGTTTAAGAGTTGTGTAGTATGTGAGCTATATCTCAAGGAAACTGTTAAAGAATTTTTAAAACTTTAATGTGAGGGGCGCCAGGGTGGTTCAATTGGTTGAGCCTCCAATTTTGGCTTGGGTCATGATCTCTCAGTTCTTGAGTTCGGCCCACTGTTGGGCTCTGTGCTGGGAGCCTGGAGTCTTCTTTGAATTCTGTGTGTCCCTCTCTCTCTCTGACCGTTCCCTGCTCACGCTGTGTCTCTCTCTCTTTCAAAAAAAAATTTTTTTTTTTTTACTTTTAAAAAAAAGCTTTAATGTGAAAAATGACAAAAGGTAAATTGTAAACTGAGAAAAATATTTGCCACCATTATAGTAAAAGATTAAGGTCCTCGTGTAAGGAGCTCGTGACAATAATGAAACCATTAAGATTTTAATTAAAAGTAAAGGACTAAAGCAGTTTAAAAGAAATATTGTAATAAAAAATTAAAATGGAGCACCTGGGTGGCTCGGCTGGTTAAGCATCTGACTCTTGGTTTCTGCTCAGGTCCTGATCTCATGGTTCATGGGTTCAAGCCCTGAGTTGGGCTCCACAGTGTGGATCCTGTTTGGGATTCTCTCTCCCTCTATGCCCCTCCCCTGCTCATGCTCTCTCTGTCTCAAAATAAATATATAAGCTTTAATGTATGGTGGAGTAGCATTTTTTCACCTGAAATTTGGAAAGATTTTTTTTTTTTTTTTTTTAAGTAGATTCCACGCCCAATGTGGGCCTTGAATTCAGGACCCTGCGATCAGGAGTTCATGCTTTACTGACTGAGCCAGCCAGGTGCCCCTGGAAAGATTAAGTGCTAAGATTCAGTGCTAGTTAAGACTGGCAATCTACGATTAACCCACCTTTTCTAGAATGCAAGGTAGCAGAATATGTCAGTAGTTTCAAATATTTTGTACCCTTTGATTCAGGGATTCCAGTTCACTGAGGAAATAATTATATTCCTAGGACATGATTAGAAGTTTGAAGTATCCTGTGTAAATCTTTATGCAGATAGGTTTTGTAAGCCTACTTACAATAGAGCTTGGTTAAATGAATTATTAATTGCTACATAATGAAAGATTTTATAGCCCTTAAGAATTATGTTTCCAAAGAATTTTATTGATCTAAAAATACTCATTTAATGCTAAATAATAACAGTGTTTTTTGTTTTTTGGTTTTTTTTTTAGGTTGTGAGATTTGGATAACTGTCTTTATTTCCAAAGTCAAAAAAAATTTATAAAGCAAACTTGGCATGAATGTACTTTGGTAAAAGTAGTTAGGAGTTCTGTGGGAGCCCCCTTTAAACCAAACACAAAATACTGTGATGAAACTTTTAGTGAACTTAGTATAACTTTTAGGCTGACTTAAGTGAACTTTTAGTATAACTTAGGTTATACTTCTCAAGGGTCTGCATATTTGTGTTTAATTTCAATTTACTACTTCTGCATATGGGAATTATCGGGTTGTCTTCTCTTTACTGAACTATGTGGGCTTTGGAGTTAGTTGTGGTCAATATCCTGCCTCTTTCCACCGTGCCCTCCCCCCCCTCCAATCCTGGCTGTGTCACCTGGATTAAATCACCTAACTGTTCTGAACTGCAGTTTCCTCCTCTGAAAAATGCATATAGTGATGCTCATCTCACAGGGGTGAAGTCAGACTAAATGCTGCTTGTAAAGCATTTAGCATGTGGTAAGGCACTTAACTACTTTCTGTAAATATTCCCCATTGTACTCCGCAAGATTTGCACTAAATCTGTTTTTACATATTTTACCACTCTTACCTATTCAGCACGTAGTTATTGAGCACATGCAGTGTGCAGGCTCTGTGCTAAGTGCTGAGCTACAGTGGTGAGCAAGGCATACACAGATTCTGCCCTCTGAAGCTGTCAGCATGTCTGAGGAAATAAATGTGGAATCATCATTTAGCTATGAAGTGCCAAAAAAAAAAAAAAAATTTTTTTGAGAAATGGGTAACCTTCATTTTCCCTTGGTCTTTTTTATTTCCTTAGGAAATTAAGCGTTAAGTCCATTACGAACCCTCGTTACCTGGACAGCCTGGGAAACCCATCAGTGAACGGCCTGTACGATTTAGCTTTGGGCCCTGCGGATTCCAAAGAGGTGTGCTCCACCTGTGTGCAGGACTTCAACAGCTGCCCTGGCCACCTGGGCCACATTGAGCTTCCGCTTACAGTGTATAACCCTCTCCTCTTTGATGTACGTTCTGCCCTGGGCTGCCCTGTACACGTGGGTCTCAGAGCTGCTGGTGGGATTTGTGAGGGGCACTCCTGGCCTCACAAGAGGTGCCTAAAGAGGTTAGCTCCAGACACAGAGTTAAAGTGCTTTTTACCATGAGATTTAAAACCTTAAGGTGCCAAATCCAGTAAATTCAACTTGGCTTGTAGCCCTAACTAAATGAATTTCAGTTTGATTCCAGTTGAAAAGAGCCATAGCCTGTCTCTGTTCACGTAGGAGGAAAAAGCATTTGAATTCATCCCCTACACTTTGTTTCAGGGGCTTCATGCCCTTCAGAAATCCAGGCAGAATATCACTGGCAGTAGGAAAACTTTGGAGTTCTCCAGGCCTCCCTGAGCTCTTCTGATGGATTTGTAAGCTCTTGCTTGGTTGCAAGGTGAGCAAAGCCCAGAAGACCAGACAGTGAGTTAAGAATGAAGCTCTTGTCTAGAGTCCTATTTGTGTATTTTCAGCTTTTTATGTCAGTTAGCCTAGCCTCCAGGATTTGTTTCAAACTCTACAGATGACAGTATATGTGTTGTTTTTTTGGTCTGTTAGTTGTATTGAGGAAAGAGAATCGTCTTAGTTAAATGCAGTATTTAGTTAAATGCCAAATATTTAACTAAACTTCTAGTAACTAAACTATTAAATATTTTATTTTTTTAAATATTTTATTTTTAAGTAATCTCTACACCCAACATGGGGCTTGAACTCGCATCCCCAAGATTGAGAGTCGCACACTCCACATACTGAGCCAGCCAGGCATCCTGCAAATATTAAATATTTTAAGTTAAATATTTAAATACTGAAATTAGAATTTGGTACTTAGTTAAATAATATGAAGGTAGCTCTCTAACTCAGACCCAAACTAAATTTCAACTTTTAAGGAATTAAAATGAAACCATGAAACAAGAAATAGAGGGGAATATTTATCTAGTTCATAGGGCCACAGAGGCCTTTCCAGGTACATTAGGTGAAGTGGAATTCTCAAAGGAGTAAACTGGCTACCTAACAAAAACTTTAAGTACGTTGAATATTACCTTGTCGAACTGTGTCTCTAATTACCCTGCTTCTTCTTATTCTCTCTCTTCAGAAACTCTACCTGCTGCTCCGGGGCTCCTGTTTAAACTGTCACATGCTGACCTGCCCCCGGGCTGTGATTCACCTCTTAGTCTGCCAGCTGCGAGTTCTGGAAGTCGGGGCCCTACAAGCAGTCTACGAGCTTGAGAGAATTCTGAACAGGGTAGGTGGGGTGGTGGCTGTCGTGGCAGTCAGGCAAGCCGAAGCAGTTCAGAACATAGCTGTTTGTGTGTTGTCCCTGAGATTCGTCATCATAAGTCACCAGAACGTTTGATCTTTACGTCTTCTCACTAGATACCAACAGCTCAGCGTGAAAACGTGAAGCCGTGAGAGAAATTGACAAAATGTTCATGAAAACAACATCTTAATACCACTTTAGCCATCAGTGAGTTTCATTTCTGGACCTTGGAGCCAGTGGAGGCTTATGCATTGCTTTGATTATTATGTTTCTTTGGTCTGTTTTAATGTAGGATGTTTTAATGTGGAAAATTGTTTTTCATGGTATTGACTTTTTTTGAAGACTTCAGACCCATTGTCTTGTAGGATTTCTTAC